TGTTGTTTGTTCTCGGGAAACATTTTTTGGATGGCAGTAAAAAAATATACATGCTTCAAAGCCGTGTATACTATATAGTTTATCGATTGGGAATATTGATGAGTGAGTGGCGGTGATGGTGGTGGTAGTGGTGGCCATGGTGCGACGTGACGGAATTACATTTAATATATTATTATTATGAAAAAGGGGTCTCCAGCGGTAAGTTAAATAACATAAAAACCGGGTAAAACGTTCCTGGTAAAATCGTAAAAATGTATAAAATAAAATACAATCATGTCTAGTAATTTTTTTGGCTCTGTGTGTTCCGAAACGTTCACATCGCGTGTATTAGCATTTAATATACTTAGTATTTAGTAATTTCATAGGTAGGTGATATGATATATTAACTTTAAACTAGAATAGATCCAAATGGGTCTATAATGTAATATTCATAAATTAAATGAAACGTTGAGTATAAATTATTATTGATCAATATAATTATTCATACATATTATTTAAATTCACCTTGTATAATTTATAAAGATTATCGTTATCATACATTTAATACATACACATACACACACATGTATATACACACATACAACCTACATGATACATACATAGGTACTAGAGAATGTAACGTGCTGGTTCGGAAATATATGAACAATTAAGTTATTAACCGTCTAGGTACCTAGGTAATCATATAGAAAAAATGAAATAGGTAGGTAGATGAAAAAAGCAAAAAAAATGAATGTTCAATCTTGTTACATGTCCAAGAATCGAAATTGTGCAAATCAAAATTCGTTTTTAAATTGCAAAATTATGTTTTTTTAAATATTATATTATAACTGGCTATGATTAAATTTTTTTTTGTGAAATAGCTTAAAAATATACTATTACAGCAGTTTTATTGTTTAATAAAAAAAAAAAAACATTAGGTACCTATATATTATTTGAAAGTAAAACGATTTCATAATTTTTTTTTCGTCAAATAGTTTAGAGATGTATTACAGCAGTCTCAATTTTCAATTGAAAAAAATGTATATTATTTGAAAGGAAATCGGAATTATATTATAAATGTTTTGTTTTGCGTGTGCATGCGTTGGAATGCTTGTTATAATGCGTACTATGGAATTCCATGTTCTATTCATCGCGTATATACCTACAGGCTGCAATACCAATAAACACATTCACGAGCAAACGTAAATTGAACCCAACGAAGGTAGGAAATGTATAATATTATGATTGGGCCCAATACGTAATTTCACGTATAAATGTCCATGTGGCAAATTGCGATCAGAGGTATTTTTAAAGCAGTATTATATAATGTATTGTAAGTACAATATTATTGAAAATTTGAAGACACAGCAATGCAAAAGACAAGTTAATTTTTTTTCAATTTTGTCTTTTCAATTTTATTATTAGGAAAAAAATGTCCGATCGACTTGTGCAACACGCGGATCTTTTATTATAATAATAGAGATAATGTAGTATTGTAGTTACACAACTACTTTCTAAATGTATGTATATTTTATATCTGTATTAAAATACAATACATTTTAAAAGTGTTCTTACAAGACTGTAAAATTGTATAGTTTTTTTAACTTTATAATTATCATTAATACATAATAATGGTTTTGCTTAGGTATATTACTATATTAGTATACCTATACGGCTATACTAAAAGAAATGGTTTAAATTGTTTTACTTATATGAAGTAATCTACCTATCTATATAATTCTTACAAAAAGTACCTACTGATTATAATTGATATTGTTGTACACAACAAAATATATTTATAATCAATTTTACTACGTTTTCATTTTTGAACCATTAGGTAACATATTTTTTATAAAAATTTTTATGTCTCCTGAAAAATGTTTAAAAAAAATGAGCATCTGATTTTTTTATACTGGCGCCTTCGGTTATTATAGTACCTATACATAGCACTCGTGCAGTTCCGCATTATACACTCTTGTTTAGCACTTTAGCATAATTTTATTATTTTTCTCGGTATTTCAACGAGCGTTCAAGAATATTTAATTATAATACCATTATCGAATATTATTGCGCAGTGCGACGAAAACGGAATAGACTTTGTATCGAATGCGACGTTTTAATTTTATAGATAATAATAATAATAATAATAATAATATAAAATATTGTACGTTATTATAAACTTCGCGTCGTGTTTATTCTCGCGTGCCACTCTCTGGCCCTGGTGCGGCGTCGTAGACGATAACGCGCGGTGACAGCGGCTTATCCGGCGGCTGTTCCGTCGTCGTAGGTAACTCGCGAAACTCGATATCGACGGCGGCGGCGGCTTCGTCGTCCGTCCGTCGTCAAACACTCTCCTCTCGCCGCCCGTCGACAAACACTCTCCTCCCGCCGCCCTTCGACAAACGCTCTCCTACCGCCGCCCGTCCCTCGGACGGCATAAACGCAGCGGCGGCGGCGCGGTCCGGTCCTCCGATTGACGCCGTCTCTGTCCCTCTCCCTGCCACGCCGCACCGCCGCCTGTTGATATCCGATGCGACCGGTGTCGGATGTCGCGACGACGACGACGACGACGCTCGTCCGCGGAAGGAGTAATAATACAGAGCGACGCTAGAGATGTCGTGAGGTGGGTGATGGGTGGGAGGTGGGTCCAAACTTTGACGTAAACGGATTCTTCTTCAAACGGTTTCACTGCCGGCGGCGAGAGAACGATAATATACAACCGCCTAGGAATTTCTCTGGTTTTCGAAGCGACGGGGCGCAGGGTGTTTTCCTCGTGCTATCGATTTTCAAATCCGTCAACGACCTGCTCGTAATATATTATTATTATTATAATTATTATTATATTATCGAATATAATATATATATACCTTTCTCGATGATTACCATCGTTCCGATAAGCTACCCTGCAGTCGAGACGTTTATATTGCCATGCAGAAGGGCAGCGAGAGTGCAAAACTTACGAGTTATTTGCAAAAATATCCTGCAGCGATATTCCAAAGCAGCAGCTACAAGATGCTTACCTATTCAAGAAATTCTGGAGCAGTAGTGTAAAGTCGCTTATCTACCGCCCATATGTGCTAGAGTATAAAAGCTTTCGAATATTATACTTTTTAAAGTACTCGAATAGTGAACACGTATATATTTTAATACACACTTCAAAGAAAAGTACTTGACATGAAGTATTTTATTAGTATTTTACTCATTTTCTTAAGATCAAATATTTTTTTTTCATCTATATATTAGGTATTTACTAAATTATAAAAGAGTTGGTATATTGATATATGTAGGTATATTATAATTTGTTTTTGCATGTGACTTATAATATTGTACCAGTGGTGCAACTATGGCTAAGCTGTTGGTGTGGAGAGAGGCGGCTGTAGAACCCACCTGATATTACCTGGAAAGTAACCCATGTTGCCCCAAACTATATGCATTCACTTAAAAAATTACACAAAAAAAAACCTAATATTTATCTACTAAAGTTTCATTTTTAAACTCTGAGCCAACGATGAATGTATTGATTTTATAATGATGTGTGTATTTCTTTTATTTGTGTCTGTGTAATGTGTACACGGTAAGTAGTCAAATTAATGCTTAGATTTTCAACTTAGTATCTTTACTGATGGGAAAGTGAATATAGTTGCCGCATTTGAGAAGTCAACATTTAAAATTCCCAGTAGTTTTCAAAAGCAATAAGAAAAACAAAAATATAATCAAGAAAAAACGGTCATTGATACTCAAAATCAGTTTTCGAAAAATAAGATTTTAGTTTTTGGTGTGATTCTAAAATAATTACCATAGATTCAAGCAATTTTCATTGAAATTTTATATTAGCATTTTCTACATAATAAAACATTTTCAAAATATTTTGACTTATGTTGAGCTATTTAGTATTTATAGGCATATCAAATTATCAGATGTTCGATTATTATTCGTTTTTTAGATTCTGAGAGGAGCATATCATCTGATAAAATACGCAAATATCATTAACTATTTTGAGTTGAACATTCATAAAAAATTTTATTTATAAATCTAAGATTTAAAAATTTAATTCAACTTTCCTCAAAAGTTTTTCTACCTCTATCAAAACGAAAAAACCGTTGTGTCATCTTACTCAGATCCTAGAATATTTGTAGAAATAATGAAATTTAAAAGTTAAAAAAAATGAATACAAATTAAAAATATCTCATGGCTATATAAATATCATAACTTTCCGGGGAATTTTTTTTTTATAGAGGTAGGAGGATTTGTGTGAAATCTTCTATAAAAATGTCTTATGTTAGCTAAGAAGAAAAAACTTTTATGTATTTATAAATGAAATAGTTTGAAAATGTTGATGAATTTTGTCAAAATTTGAACTTGATATGCAAAGAAAAAGAAAGTGAGCATTAATATTTTTAAACTTTAATTAATGAAACTCATAAGGAATCTTGCATTAAATATTAAAGCTTTTTTACTTAATGAACAAGTATAAGTCGAGAATAATTTAAAAAAATGTACAAAGTTTGAAAAATTTCTCAACGGTATAACTATCTCAAAAAGAGTCAAAATATTTCAAAAATTTCATTAACATCAGTATTCATTACCTATTATTGGTAAAAATTTCAATGGTCTACATTTATTTGTTTTTGAGTTTTACCAAAAAAATAAAATCGGTTTTATCAAATTTTGATTTTGATTTGAGTGAAAACTAAAACTTTTTACTTTTTTTTTGTTTTTCTTGAAGTTTTCTAAAACTACTTTGAATTTTCAATTTTAACCTATTAAAAGTAAAAACTAGATTCAGTTTTTATTAGAAAAAATGCTGTTCTCTAAAATAGGAGCATTTTTTAGTAAAAGGGTCAATAGGGTACATCAAATGGATCCCCATAATACCATTCTATTAAACTGGAAAGCTAACCGACTAAAAAAATAAAAGGAGCACTCTACTAGCGTTCCTTATTCATCATAACATTGACATTGCTTGTATAACCAAAACACATTTAGCCCATATAGACATAATTAAATTCCCCGGCTATAAAATGTACGGCGTGGATCGTAACACACCGGCATGCTCTATGGGTGGTGTAGCAATACTGATTCTCAACAAAATTAAACACCAACACATTCCTATACCTGTTCTTCAGAGCTTAGAAGCCACAACAGTGCTAATTAATTTTAATAATCGTTCTATCCTAATCGTCAGCTCTTATCAACCACCAAGCCGCACAATGCACATCTCCGATTATGTCAAAGTAATGAACCTATACAATAACCCTATAATGGCCGGTGATTTAAATTCAAAACATATTAATTGGAGATGCCGTGTCTCGAATCCAAACGGTTTATAAGCTATACAAATTTATATCTACCTATGCATGTATAATATCTGCACCAAGTACACCAACTTATTTTCCTTCAGATATGAATAGACTTCTTGATATACTAAATATTCTAGTAAGCAAATCAACACAATTCAGCTTTACACAAGAATCAATCTCTGAACTTGATTCGGATCACAATCCAGTCAAAATACATTTAAATTCTGTATTGCAATTTCACAGCTCAAATAACTCATCGTTCAAAGGTAAACCAAACTGGTGCACTTATTTGGACTACTTAAATAAAAAATTAAATATTCCTAAAAATATAAATACTGTCTTAGCAGCAGACAAAATGGCCGAACACTTCACTGAAGTCATTACTAACGCTGCACGATTGTGCTCGGACACCTCAACCCACAATCAAATTCAAAATAATCACTGTGCCTTACCACTGTTCATATTGAAACTAATCCAACAAAAACACTACGCCAGACTCTCTTTCTGAAAACTAGAGAAATTCTGTAGCCAAAAAAATGTTTAACAAGTTTACTAAAGAAGTGCAAACCGCCTTGCAACAATTCCGAGTAAATTCATATAGCAAGTTCTTGTCAAATATTCATTAAAATGACTCTAACTTATAAAAAGTCACAAAAAAAATATTAAACCAAGAGACAAACTGCATTCCTTCTCTTCGCACTACAACTGGTCTCACCATATCTGACGCGGAAAAGTGCAAACCTTATGAACACTTTCTCCCCGAACCAATACACAAGCAATACTAATAACCTCAGGGTTGAAGAAGTTCTGAGATCACCAAACTTCTCTGTACAAAATTCAATCAAGTTTGTAACTAAAGGCGAAATTAAAACAATAACCAAAAGAACTAATAAAAAATCTCCTGGTCACGACAACATCACTAATCTTATGTACAAAAAACTACCTATTAAAGCAACTATGTTCTTCACTTCCTATTTAACTTGCTTCTTCGTCTTGGTCACTTCCCGGATAACTGGAAAAAAGCAATGATAATCCTCATAAAAAAACCTCTGAAAGATAAAACAGACCCTGAAAGCTACAGACCAATTAGTCTACTAACATCGTAATCTAAGATTTTTGCAAAAGGCATTCTTTCTAGACTGCAAAATTACCTAAACTGTACAGACACAATTCCAAAATTCCAATGTGGATTCAAAGCACATCTCTCCACTACACAACAACTCATGCGTATAACAGAACATATAAGTAACTCATTTGAAAAACACTGTCACACGGGTGCCGTTTTTATAGACATCTCTAAGGCCTTTGATAAGGTTTGGCATGGGTTGTTGTACAAGCTCAAAATTATCAACATACCAAATTATTTACTCGACTCGGTAGCTTCATTTCTATCTAACAGGCAATTTTCTGTTAAAATAAATGACAACTTTCCAACCAATCTTAGCTGGGGTCCAACAAGGATCAATACTTGGCCCAACATTATTTAACACCTACACATCTGACATCCCGCAATCACCACACACAAACATAGCCCTCTTCGATACCATCATTTACTCTGAATCTCGCAACCCAGAAGCAATATCTGTACATCTCCAAAACCACTTAAATACATTATCTGCCTGGTGCAAGAACTGGAAGATATAAATTAACCCATCAAAAAGCTCAAGTGTTTTATTCAGTCTACGCTGTAATCCCACTCCACCACTGCTAACTTTTAACAATGAACCAATCGCATGCAAGTACCTTGGCGTGGCGTTGGACAAAAGATTAAAGTGGCCACACCTCTCATCTAAACTCCGACAAGCCTATCAACGTCTTGGGATGCTCTTCCCTATCTTAAGCAGGAAGTCTTCGCTACAAAAAAAACTTTCCCTACTTATTTATAAGCAAATACTACGTCCATTAATCACTTATGCTTGCCCTATTTAGGGTAAATGTGCACAAACTCATCTTAATAAACTGAAAATATTTAAAAACAAAGTTTTAAGAACGATAACTAACGCTTCATGGTTCGTAAGGAACTCAAGCATACACAAAGACCTCAAAATTCTAACTCTTCAAGACCACATCAAGTTCTTGGCTGTGAGCTTCTTCGAATCCATCCACAAGTAAACAGGCTCATTGCACTACCATATTAATATCAGACCACCTACCCAACGCCGCCTCCAACGTGGTCGCCCACATGACCTAATTCCTCAAGAAACACTCTAACTTAAGCCACTAACTATTATTATCATTTAACATAAAATTGTAAGAATTAATTATCACACTTAACGAGTCAAAATGTATTAATTATCCTTCATATCTAGGTATAGATAGCAAATAGCTAAGATACCGTATTGTAATAAAATAAAAAAATAAGTGATTGGGAATTTAATATTTATTATTGTTATAACTTTTTACTAACTTTTTTTTAATTGTTGTGTAATAGTTAGTATCGTTTGTAAATGTGTAAATTATTCTAATCTATATTCACAGTTATTAAATACTTTATATATTATTATCTGATTATGTTAAAAGCTATGTACTGATTGTAAAAACACTGCACGGATGCCACACCTCAAATTATCGTTTTTGAAATAACAATTCGATAAACATTGACTCGTTCATATTAGGTACATCCCAAGGTGTGATGATCTCCCAATTTTTAACTCAAGAATATATTTAAAGCCCAAACTACAGAATGTTTATATTCAATGTTTAAATAGAAAACTGAAAACCACTTTTTATTTTAAACATTGAAAACCATAGTACGAAATGTAGTATTTATTTATCCATCTTACATTTAGTATTAAAAAACAATTATTTACATGTCAAAATTAACACTGGCAGGGCTGCCATAATAATATGATAAAAAGATTTATCCAATTGTGATATGTCTCTTGGATCATAGATCTCTGATCAATCCGATCAGTGTGACTTCTGTATATGCTTGTTTGCCGTCAATTTGCAAACGGTTTTTCTCCAGTGTGTATTCTCTTGTGCGCCCTCAAATTGCCACTTAAAGAGAATGTCTTGTAGCATATATTGCACGAGAATGGTTTTTCTCCAGTGTGCATTCGCTTGTGTGCAGCCAAACTACTACTTTGAGAGAACAACTTGTCACATATATCGCACGCGAATGGTTTTTCTCCAGTGTGTATTCTCATGTGTACCCTCAAATTGCCACTTACAGAGAACGTCTTGTCGCAAATATAGCACGAGAATGGTTTTTCTCCAGTATGTATTCTCATGTGTACCGTCAAACTACCACTTTGAGAGAACGTCTTGTCACATAAATCGCACGCGAATGGTTTTTCTCCAGTGTGCGTTCGCTTGTGTTCAGCCAAACTACTACGTTGAGAGAACAACTTGTCACATATATCGCACGTGAATGGTTTTTCTCCAGTGTGAGTTCGGTAGTGTGCAGCCAAACTACTACTTACAGAGAAAGACTTTTCGCATACATCGCACGCGAATGGTTTTTCTCCATTGTGCGTACGTCGATGTTTTGTCAAATAGTTACTTAGAGAGAACGGCATGTCACATATATCGCACAAGAATGTTTTTTCTCCATTGTGCGTACGTCGATGTTTTGTCAAATAGTTACTTTGAGAGAACGGCTTGTCACATATATCGCACAAGAATGGTTTTTCTCCACTGTGCGTTCGTTTGTGTGCCGTCAAACTGCAACTTAAGGAGAATGACTTGTCGCAAACATCACATTCATACAGTTTTTTTTTTTTACGGAGTTGACATATAGTCAAGACATTACTCGGAAAATATTCCTTCTCCATTTTTCCTCTGGCGTGAATAGTCTGCTTCTATTTGTAAATAATTAATTTAACGTGTTATTGTTTTTCATACAATTATTTGGTTACTATGCTATATTGTTTATGATCGATTCAAATTTATTGACATTGACATATTTTTAAGCCAGTACAGCTTGTATTACTTTTTGAACTTTAAATAGAATATAGATAACACAATATAATATAGGTAATATCAATAATTTCTTTAAAATTATTTTATAACAATAACATTTTACCCAATATTACTGCATTAGGTACCTATATAATAATCGATTAATTATTTCTCAAATAACATACCCTACCCTTCGCGGTCGTAACCACTCCGTATATAGGAGTAATTCGTTATAGTTGGTGGCAGCGCAGGCCAATAAGAAATCATTTGTTGTGTAAGAATAATAGTTAGGTAAGTATACAATTATAGATCTGTTAGATTTATTTAGACTAATAGCTCCTTAATCCTAGTAATTCTCGTAGTCAGTACATCGTTAGTTCTTAATATTTTATTTTGAGTCAATTTTAGTACTTGTAATAAATTAGCGCCACCAATAAGTGTATATTGTATAAGTGAGCCAAAATATTTTTAAAAAAAAAAACTTATAATTTACGTCACTTCAAAAGTTAAAAATATAAAATGTTGGTAATCTACACCACACGTTCAATTTATAATTTCAATTATTATAATTAATTTATTGAATTTACCTGAATTTAACCGAGCTCACATCGGAAATCACACATAAAAAGTTAATTAATAACATGTTCAAATCACAAAATATAATAATTCATGAATTATAATATTTCTAATTTTTACATATTTTATTATTAACTGAATTATTACTCATTCATACAAAAAGTACGTTGGTAAGTATACCTATACTCTTTTCAGAATAAGAACGCACCAGATTTACGTAACAAAACCGGTTTTGTCCGTGGCCGCCTGGTTCCTTCTTATTCTGAAAAGAGTATATAATTACACTTTGCTTAATTTGTTGCTTTTACTTTATGTACATTTTAATATTTTTCTTGGAAGGTATCTATCAAAATTAACTTGATTGATGAATACAATATGTATGAATATGTAGTTGAAGAATAACTAATTTTTGAAACTAAGTTTTTTATGGCACGATGCAGGGCTAGTTGGGAAAAAACGTTCCTGACGAAATACTATTTTTTATAATATATTAAACAGTTATTTTAGCCTAAACATCTAATTTTCATTTCATCATACTGATCGATCTAGTAATGCGATAATACTTTTTAAAACAGATTTAAATTTGTTATTATGTCTACTTGAGATTGGTCAGTCCACTTTTCCCAATTTCCCCCCCCCCCCCCTAACCTCTAAAAATTTAGCTTGAATATTTTGAAATTTCGAAATTTTCAAACGTTGATTATTCTGGATTTATCCAGAATTTAAAGCAGAAATCTTAAAATTTGGACTGACCGATCTCTAAAAGAAATTCTAACGAATTCAGATCAGTTTTCAGAAATATTATCGCATTATTAGATCGATTGGTATTATGGAACAAAAAAAAAAAAAACGGGAACAGTAAGTTGTAGTGACGGTCTGCGATTGATTATAATTTATAGTTTATAATTAATATCTTGCGTATATTGATAAATGATAACATAATAAAATTATTGATAATATATCACTAAACTACGTATATTATGTATTTATAATTATTATAACTAATAAAATATATAAGTAATAAGTGAA